CCATTCCCAGTCCTACACCTCAATTCAGGAAATGAAAACCCCCAGTTTCAAGGACTTTAGACCTCTCTGTGATGCCATTTACTGGCCATGTAGAGGTACATTGTCTACGTGTTAACTGTGGATAACAAATAATGGCAAATTCCAGTAAATCTCAACTCGCCCTCTTCCCCTGATGTCCTGGGGGGAAGGCACACGTTTTAGTATGTCTGGAAGATTAATGAAGGCAGGTTTCTAAAGGATGCAGGTGGGCTGGCAAGTTCTAAGGGCAACCTGAATGAAGAAGGTGCCATTAGCTGCTGCCAAGCCTTTAGCCTGCTGCTGCTAAGGGAGACTACCTCAGACCTTCGATGGTCATCCAAGACTGCTGATTTTGCAGGTTGTTGCGTCAGCTAAAAGGAACGGATAAGCAGAGACAGAGTTTTTAGCAATAAAACCAGGAACGAAATCCTTAGCTTCTGTCCCACCTGTGTGGCATTTCCTGAATCACTGGCTGAATCTGGCTGCATTTGGCCAGTGGAGAGGCAAGGAAGAGTTGTTAGACTCTGGTTGTTGGTAGGTGACATACACTGTATGAAAGCTCTGCTAATTTGGAGCAAAGATGCTGGGCCACGAGGCTGGTTCCCATTTGTTAGGGGAAATGTCTTTATATAGCTGCCCCCGAAACTCTTCCTCCTTCCTCTCTGTGGCTCGTTGCTGCAAGACAGACGGGATCAGGCTTTTCTCCAGGGCTGAAGTTTTCAACTGGTGTTTCAATTGGCACTTGTAATTTATGTGGCTTTTTTCTTTCTCTTTGGTATGAAATGCAATAATAAGTTGCAGGTGGAGTAGTTACAAATTGGGAGGGGAATGTCTGAACGCTGAATTGTGTACTGAGTTTGGATGGGCAAATTTTAAGGTAATTCAGCCCTCTTACAAAATTTCCGGGCAACCACTGGACTATTTTTATATTACTGAAATATTAAACTGAAGACCAAGAGCTATTTCCTCAAATGGTGTACCTACCTGATGTGCATATAGATGATTGCATAAGAGCCACTGCCTTAATTTATTAAAAAAAAAAAAAGTTTTGTTCAGATTTGTAGGCAATCTCTAATATGAAACTATAATTGTTTGGATTGGATTATCAATTCCAGATTGTCTGGTTTTTGTTATCTCTATGTGGTGACAGATATATAAAATATTCTTCCCCCCCATTTAGTAAGTGACACTAACAAGCCTGTATTTTGAAATTATGGCCCCTAATGATAGGATTTGACAACGGAAGAGGCAGGGTGTTGGAGTATGAACAGAAACTTGTGTCAAAGAGCAATTCAGGTCAAAGATTATCTCCTTGTCATACCATTGTTTTGAAAGTTTCAGCTGCTACAAATATTTGTGGGCAAGGTTCAACTTAGAAAAAGAATTTGGTTTGGAAAGAATAACAGAATTGTTTATCCCATTTTTTTGCTGCCAAACTGTACTCAAAACCAACATTTCTCATCCTGCTGTTGCCTAACGTGTTTACTGAACTATGAAAGCCTTGGGTTATTTATGTATTTAGTCTGAAAATTGAATTTAGTTTCTCTGATCACTGCATTGCACAATGATGATGAATGATATTTAACCAGATTGTTACGCTGGTGTGTGTGCATATGGCCAATAGAGATAACAGTCCCTGCAATTAATACTCATTATCATTGACGGTGAGGTACAGTGACTTGTAAGTTACTTCCTTACACTTACCCCTTACTTAATTTTTCAAGTTCAGGGCTGATTATCAGGATACCTAAGCAGATATTCACATAGATTTTTACTGTTGTTTTTTTTGTTTGTTTGGTTTTTTTTTAAGAGGAATTTATCTGTGGGAATAGTAGTATAGCAAGTGGATTTTTGTGACTGCATTTGTATTTTGAGATAGAGTGAATAGGAAAAGGATGGAAGGATGCAGGTGTTAAGAGGTCTCCCAAGTTTGTCCAGAAAATAAATTCTTACCATTGGAGTTGCCCAAGTCAGGTATTGCTGTCAGTAAAATTGCATAGTCATTAAATCAGGACTTGCAATTTTTCTTTGTTTTATTTCAGCTTTGTTTAGCTCCTCCCTGTTGAGATTTCACATGCTGGAGAGATCTCCTAAGTTTGCTCTTGGTTCCTACTTTGTTGGCAGGGGGGACAATGAGTGGTGACCACTGCCCATTTGTGGCACCACAGTAGGTAAACTGGAGCGCTCATTTCTCCTCCTCACCTGGAAAATGAAGTGGTGAACATGAAAGTGATCATACTTAAGTGTCTGTGGTGGTGCTCAGATGGGAAATGTGAGCAAGCCAGTAACAGGGAGAGGTCATTAAGGTGAACTGCAGTGGTGGGAGAGCATATAATGGAGTGTGAGATAATACACTTATCACTTACAGGGCATCTAGCAGGGTAGGTTTACCTGCTAGTCGGTGTTATGTGTTGGTCAGGAGGATCTATGATTCAGTGGTCAGCAGAAGGCAGTTAGAGGTATGATTCTGGTTTGGATGGTAGTGACTTTATTAAGTCCCACGGCTACAGGTCTCTTAAAAATGAACCAGAAAACCGCCTCTCTGATGTACATTGTTGATACTGTGCAGGTTTTTCTTCCTTTCTTGCTTCATTAATACAGTGATCTATGTGTGAGATACGGACATTCTTTTGCAGCTGCCTTTGCTGCGTTCACACTACTTGTCATCACAGCAAGCTCCGAAGGTGGTAACAACAGTGGGAAATGCCTGTGTTTCCAAGGGAAAGTGCTCAGGCATTTTTCTTTCCATCTCTGTCTGTCCCACCTGTCTAGTTCTTGTAAGTCCATCATGCAATCTTCTCTCCCTCTTTGCCCAGGCTCTCGGTTCCCAAATCACTTGAGCAATTTAGCTAGTGCTCCTTCCACTTTTCTTCCTGTCCAAGTATGGTCAAGTTGGCCGTTTTCTTCTCCCTTAGTACCAGGAGTCACCAGGTGGTGCTATTTCCCAATGAAAATGCCCTTCTTTGCGTTGCAGCGCAGTCCAGCCTTTGTAGAAGGGTTTTATGGTGTTTGGTTTTGTGATGGAGCTTTCTTCGGTGGGCAGCTGTGTCAGGTAGCAAGGGGTCTGTCTTCTCGCTGTTGGTTCAATCTTGAGTCAGATTTTTGGAGCACAGTTGTTCCCTGTGACTTGATCACCCAGTGCCTTGTTTGTCATTGAGGTCCGTGAAAAGGCTGGACTGTTTCTACACAGCTTGTGACCACACTGTTGTATTCAAAAGCTGCCTTACTGTAGCGTAAAGCACGAGCAAGTCTCACTAAGGATATCCTCAGGCTTTGCACTGTTCAGTGCCCCCCCATCCAGTGGGAGGGTTTTTGTGTGTTCATTGGCATGTGCTGCTACTCCAAAGAAGATTTAGACTGCTCCTTTGAAAGATGCTCCTCTTGTTTCTCCTTTCATCCTCTGATCTTATTAGTCAGCTAGATTGATACCACCTTATTTGCAGGTGCTTTTTACAGAAATCATGCGCTTATGTGAAACTGTAGAGCCAGTTCAAAACAAGTTCAGCATCTTAAGCAAATACCTAATGTGTCCAAAAGCCACATTTTGAGATGAAGGAATGCAAATAAACACCAAGTTCCCGTCTTCATTTTCACCAGCCTAAGCAATTCTTCCTTTGCAGCCGTCCATACCACATGCTGTCAAGGGCATAAGAAATTGATTGATTGAGATTCTGCTCTTTGATTTCAGTTTAAAATCCTCCGTATCTCTCAGCAGTTCAGCTACTGTTCTGAATTTGATAACTTGCGTGGAGAGGGAAAGGAAATGTGTTAAAAAAAAAAAAAAAAAAAAAAAAAAAAAAAAAAGAGAGAGAGACAGAGAACTGGGTGGAAATTTGATGTGGGGAAGCAGTTTCTAAATAATATTAATAACGAATGAAGGCTCTTATCTTTGCTGTCCACGCTCATACTAGCATGGCAGTGTGGTTAGCTTGCACTTTGTATGATAAGATGCAGTGATTAAGCATTTATATTTGAATTAGAATATGGGTTTGGTTTTTTTTTTTAATGAACTAGATGAGCTTTAAAAATTGCTAAGTTGGATGTTCCAGAACTAGGTTAGCTGCGGTGTTAATTTTTTGTTATTATTTTTTTAAATATATTCTACAGTGTTGCTATTCTTCAGTCACCTTGCAGAGAAAGGAACTGAGGTAGCTGGAGTAATGACCCACAGGCTGTTTTCTTCATCAGTTTACATTTCTGTTTTGCCTTATGGTTTTATTTTTTAATTTTTATTCTATTGGAGTTATTTTAAAGAATAGCTTTAAAGGAAGCTTCTTTGTTCTCCCTTTCCCTCCATGTCCCCCCTGTTTCATAAATAAAGATTCTTTTATACTCCCATGCCAACGCCCATACACACGAGAGTTGGCAGGTTGCAGAAGAGCATCACAGTTTTTAAGCACTGGGTGACTAAATCTGCAGCAGCCATGTGAGCCACTTTGTGATTTCTTGGGTAGTAGATAGTTTAACTGACTGCTAATCCTGCCACTCACTGCTAGTGCCATGTAAAACAAGGATTTGTTCCTTACTGCTGATTTAATGCCATGTCAGCCACTGGACTATGTACAAAGGAAAGATAGCTCCTTTCTGACAGAGTCATCTTTCCAGCACTGTCTCTTGCCTTCTTCCCAAGAGGAAGAAAGGGGAGGAATGTTGCCTAGTCCACTCGTCTTGAAGTTCTTCAGGCTGTAGCTGTGACTCTCTATGCCTTCAACTCATCATGAAGAGCTTGAGATTGAAGCACTAGTTATGATAGCAGGATAATGCCAAGCATCTTGGAAACACTCTAGGAGAGACTTTGGTTTCATATAATATTAAATATACATATATATGAATGTCTGTAGGGAAGCAAATTTATTACTAACATTAGCTACTATACAGACATTAGCATTAAAGAAACTTTATTTGAAACTTGAGCATTAGGGCTTTTTGTCTCTAAAAGATTCCTGGGCTGGGATCTGGGGTAAAGCAGTGAACCTGTGACAATGAATACGGAGAAACTTAACTCCAGAGAAGCCTACAAAATGGCAGGACAAGTAGAACTGCATTTCCTGGCTCCAAGTCTGGCAGATACCAGGGTAGGTATGCAGGCCTGAGTTTAATTCCACAGAAGAATGTGTGCAGGATGTGTGTGAAAGGAAACCACATGCTGAATAATCATGCTGGTAAGGGAGCCAAAACTGGCAGCAGACGTTTGGCTTCAGTGACTGGTTGAGAACCAGAGAGGTGGCCAGGACTGCAGACACATCCAGCTCTGAGGTGAAGCCAGATGGGCTGTCACTGTACATGTTTTGCTAACTAATGTGGACTAAAGGAAGACAAATCAAGAGAAGGGATCAGATGACATGTTATACTTTGAGGGTGTATTGGGTTTGTGTGACAAGGTCTTTGGTAGCAGTGGGGGCTACAGGGGTGGCTTCTGTGAGAAGCTGCTAGAAGCTTCCCCTATGTCTGACAGAGCCAATGCCAGCCAGCTCCAAGATGGACCCACTGCTGGCCAAAGCCGAGACCATCAGCAACCTGGGATACCATATTTAAGAGGGGGGGAAAAAAGCCTGTGCAACAGCAGCTGGAGAGAGGAGTGAGACTATGTGAGAGGAACAACTCTGCAGACACCAAGGTCAGTGAAGGAGGAGGGGAGGAGGTGCTCCAGGCGCTGGAGCAGAGATTCCCCTGCAGCCCCTGGTGCAGCCCCTGGTGGGACAGGCTGTGCCCCTGCACCCATGGAGGTGAGCGGTGGAGCAGAATCCACCTGCAGCCCGTGGAGGACCCCACGCCAGAGCAGGTGGATGTGCCTGAAGGAGGCTGTGACCCCTGGGAAGCCCACGCTGGAGCAGGCTCCTGGCAGGACCTGTGGACCCGTGGGGAGAGGAGCCCATGCTGGAGCAGGTTTGCTGCAGGACTTGTGACCCCGTGGAAGGGACCCACGCTGGAGGAGTTCATGAAGAGCTGCAGCCTGTGGGAAGGACCCATGCTGAAGAAGTTCATGGAGGGCTGTCTGCCATAGTTGGGACCCCAGGTTGAAGCAGGGGAAAAACGAGAGGACAACGGTTGATGAACTGACCGCAACCCCCATTCCCCATCCCCCTGTGCCACTGGAGGGGAGGAGGTGAAGAAAATAGGGGATAAAGTTAAGCCCAGGAAGAAGAGAGAGGTGAGGGAAAGTGTTGTTAAGATTTAGTTTTTATTTGTCATTATTCTACTCCGATTTGTTTGGTAATAAATGAAACTAATTTCTTCAAGTTGAGTCTTTTGCCTATGATGATAATCGGTGAGTAATCTCCCTATCCTTATCTCAACCCATGAGCCTTTCATGATACTCACTCTCCCCTGTCCAGCTGAGGAGTGAAGTGACAGAGCAGCTTTGGTGGACCCCTGCTGTCCAGAGAGAGTCAAACCACCACAGGAGGTTAGATAGCATTAAGCCCTGTCCAGCAGATACTTTTCTGTTTTAAAATGGCTTTTAGGAATGTACAGGGGATATTGAAGATGCATGTAAATACCAAACAAATAAACTCAGCACCTATCTCTTAAGGCACCTAAATGATTCTTTGCCACTACTGTCTGAACACTTTACAACTCTCACTGATGTAAATCCCCATAATGCTGTTACAATGTAAATTGAAGTAATTGTTATTTTTGTTTAACAGCTAGCGAGCTGAGAATGATAGTGCCAAGAATTCCTGTGCCAATTGTAGTTCTTACAGCACTAGGAAGAAGGATTGTATTCTGATATAACAAGTTGGGGGTACAAGAATGTCTCTGAGAGCAAGTGGTGCACTTCCTACTTGTAGAAGGAATTACAGTTAATCTAATTCTAATGCACACCAGAGAAAAAAGCCTTATTCTGTAGCTAATTTGTGCTCCTCAACACAAGCATTGGCCTGAAATTACACTAGCAGTTAGAGATGATATGTAGGGTATATTACCATGGGAGAATTGGCACAGTTCGTTTATGGGAGTAATATACTGACTGGTTAAAAGATAGCAATATTGCCACATATTATGAGTTTAAGGAAGGGTATGCAACAAACAGAAATGCAGGCAGGAATAATCTTGTAAGGTTCGCAGATGGACAGATGACCAAAAAAACTGTGGTGGTTTCTACTGAAGAAGTGAAACACCGCGGAATAATCCTCTCCCTCAAAACACAGTTGCACTGAGATCTGTGTGTTTGTGCTGGGATCTTGGGGAACTCAGTTCCAGTATTCACTGGGAGCGTTGGTGTTCATTTAGCAAATACCCTTCACTCAGAAAAGTATGTGATGGCACATTGACACTCCTGGAGGCCAACTGTGGTTCCAGTTCTTCCCTTTCAAGAATTTGCTTTGCAGCCAAGTACCTGCCGGACCTTTGCAGATACTCCTTGCAGATCACGGGGAGCATAAGGCCATGCCTGCTGTCGTTTGGAGTTCTTGTTGCAGAAGTACATTGTGAGTCTTGGTAGTGAAGCAAGTCAAACGATTGAAGGTGGTTGTGTTGAGGTAGGGAGGAAAAACACAACGAGCTTCTCATTTGGTACAGGGCCTATCAGGGAGTTTCAAGCCGCTGCTTTGGGAAGCAAGTGTGCCCCTGAGCTAGTTCTGTAGCTCTGGAAGGGGGATCCCAGCAAATCGACAGGAAAATTATCTTCTCCAACAATCACGCTTACAGTGGAGGCTCTATTTCTCATTGTACAGGGCTGTAATGAAGATTGAAACTTGTGAAAATTATTTGTGTCCTGAATGAGATGCATATTCTTTTGACTGCAGAAGTGAGGCTTCAGAGCACCTCAGCCTGCATCCCTGTGGTTCAGGCTGAAGCCTCGGGCAATTTTTTGCTGGTGAAGCGGCTGAGAGCCAATGTGTCAGTCTGAGCTGTTCTTGTATTTTCATCTGTATGCTTATGCAGTGGTGGGATTTGCTCACTTGATACATCTTGCAGATGGAAAAACTGAATACAGCGAGAAGCTATTTGCACTTCTTCCTAGACACCGCTCTGCAGTGCATGGCTGCATTTTCACTGGGACAAGCCTGACACTTGGCAGATTCAGTTCAGTCTCAGGGGTGTCTCTGAACCCAGGTCTCCTGAAAGGTATTTCTCCTTACAGCAGTGTTTTCAGACGAGTAAGTGATACCCAAATACAGGGAAAGATGAAGGATGTGTAGAGTAATTCTTGGATTAAAATACTGCCCTTGGAAACTGCGATCAGGAGTCTGTTGTGCATAACTCTTCCTTGTATGTTCATATGGTTGCTAAAAATCCAAAGCCAGTTTCAGATACTCTTCAAGCTGACTGCCACAGCCTTCTAGAGCAGCTGTAACTGGATTAGTAAGACATGGAAAGTATTGCAATGCTGTCTTCATCTGATGGTCTGAGTAATGATTAAAATGTTAATGGCAGGCATAGAGGATTAAAGCATGCTGCAAATTTCAAAGCTTTATTTTGTTGTTCAGCTTTTGCTTTTTTGCCTTCTTTGGAATTTAAGACAGCCACAATCCTACACTCAGCTTTACCACATCGTGTGCCTTTGGGTTAAGAAGTGGCATCTCGGAAAGCATGGAAGATGCAGGTTGGATATCTCAGTGCTGCATGCCAGACCTTGCCCGAGGACTGACATTCCTCCTAGATACCAGGCTTGACCAGAGCTGAGCATACATTTCTGCAAAAGCCCAATAGTACTTTATGGTGCAGGCCTAGCGGTTTGTTTGATGATAGCTAGCAAAATGCTAACCGTCTAGCAATGCTGTGATGTGATTATGCTGCTATGGATTTTTAAATTCCATCAAAGTCCTGCTGGGGATAATGGGAGTGGGTCAGGGGGATTCAACTGTAAATCAGAAACTAAATCATGGCCAATTCTGACAGTGGAAAGAATGGCTATTTTAATGTGCAGAAGCTCAACTGCCAAGTCAAAACCAGCTGCGCTTCACAGAGCTACTAGAAAGGTCTCTCTGCATTTGCATTTTTTGTAAGACTCGTTGATTATTTTTCTTCCCCTAAAGTTTAAACCATGTCTTTCTACCTCATATTTGCCTGGCCAGTTGCAGAAATTCAGAGAGCCTTTTTTTTTTTGTATTTAAAATATCAAATACACTGATGGTAAAGGACAGTGTTCTCCTTTTTACAAACTTCATACCGATTCAGATGTTTTAATCTGTACATCTTAATTATTCCCACAATGAAAGTTCTGCACTGGGCAAGGCAAGGACCTCTCCTTCCTCTCTACTGTAGCACTGGCAAGGGTCAAATTGATGTAACAAAGATGAGAATTTATCTTGGAAAATCTTGAGCATAAACTGGCTCCTCTGTTATTTTTTAGTTAGTAATGAACAAGCCAAAAAGTTTGTCCGGTGGCATGAACGTGTGACAGGGAGCCAGGAATTGTTGCTTCTCTTAATAGTCAGGAGCAGCTTCCTCTCTGAGCAGATCCTCTTCCAGGACAGTGGGACAACTTTCTGACTGTACCCTTGTTCTGTGTATTTGAGCATTGTTATTACCCCCTGCTCTCTGTGTCTGAAAGGTGACACAAGGCAGCATTATCTCACTGGAGGGTACACTGGGAAGATCATTAGTGAGCCAGATTTGACCGCGCTTGTTACTGGTGTGTGCACTTACTGCACATCTTGATGCTAACTTGTCTGAAAGAAAGCTTCAGAAGAGCTTGCTGGTAGGCTCCAGTATTAACTTCTGCCTGGAACTTGGATTTTCATCGGTGTGAGCAGCTTTGTAATTCAAGCTCTATGCCTGATGAAGAAGCTACACCGCAAGAGGCTGCCTGCCTGATCAGCCCTGACTGCATCAGTCATACTCTTTTTCTCTTGATCAGGGACCAAGAGAAGGGCTGAATCTGAGGAAGGGCTGAGCTGCCAAATGCTTATGGTGCCTTTGCAGTTGGGGTGGTTAGCAGGTCAGCTTTTGGGGGGCCCCAGCACAAACGGGTCCTGAGGGGCAGATGCATTTCTGTTGTGAGGTGCAGGGAAGTCCTCCTGAGTTCGGTGGAAGCCAGATGTGCCATGGCATCAGTTTCTTGCTTTATGGGAAAGGATAAAGACTTAACACTTCCAAATGTTTTCCTTATTATTGTTGAAATGACATC